TCTCTCTCTCTCTCCGTTACTTTTCTTCGTCTTCTCCGTTGCGCTCTCCGTCAAAGTCTTCTCTCTCTCTTTGCCCATCGGAGACAAGCTCGTTCCGTTTCAAAAAATGGCGACGGCGACATCGGAACGAGTCGAGTTAGCCAAGCACTGTAGTTCGAGGAACTGGTCTAAAGCTATCCGAGTTCTCGATTCGCTTCTTGCTAAGCAGTGTTCAATTTTGGACATATGGTTTGTTCTCGCGATTCTTCCTTTGCTTTTGATAAATTCAATTTTAATTCCGGATCGGTAGTTTCTTCTTCGTTAATTTCAATTTTGGATTGGGGATTTGTTGTTGTTGTTTTCAGCAATAGAGCTTTTTGTTATAATCAATTGGAGCTTCACAAGCATGTGATTAAGGACTGTGACAAGGCACTCCAGCTTGAACCTTGTGTAATTCAAGCTTATATGCTCAAAGGTTAGTTCATTTCTAAGCCTTGAACTGTGTGTGAGAGTATCAATTCTAATATCTATGGGATTGAGTCTAATTAGAGGGATTTAGTTAATGCTAGTGCTGCTTGTTAAGATGATATAATGGTTGCTTAAGAAAATCGATTACACTTAGTTTAGTGGCTTGCTACTAATCTCATGATTCTGGTGGAATTACATTTTACAATTGTTGTAGAATTTATAGGATTAGAACAGGTTTGCTCTGGTAGTCGAATAGTGGTGTTTTTTGTTTGTGACACACCTTTGATGAAATTTCGGTTCTTTGCTTGGTATACTGTCTGTGAACTCTAATGTATTAGCTTTTCCATCTAGGACGCGCTCTTTTGGCTCTCGGGAGGAAACAAGAGGCTGTTCTTGTTTTGGATCATGGGTATGAAAATGCTTTGCAGCAGACAGCAGATGTGAAGCAGTTACTTGAATTAGAAGAACTACTGAAAGCTGCACGACGAGAAATTGATGGCGCTTTCAAAGATCAGGTGACTGAGTCCAAGCAAGAGGCCCCTGTTTCGTCTCTAGGGTCATGTGCTAGTGAGAAATTTGATGAAAAAATCGACAAGCGGGAAGACCATGATAAGGTTATTGAGACAAGCGATAATGCCTGCAAAATATCAACCGTGGCAGTTTCTGAATCAGGAGCATGTAGCAATGGGAAAGCCCACAAATCATCCAGTAATTTGGGAGAGCAATCAAAGATAAAAAGTATTTCAAAGGATGCATCCAAGGCAAACAAGCAATCTGGTGGGAGTTCCGATTTATCTAATGGATCAGTATACAAGGAAAAAGAGAATGGAAAGTCTGGCATCCAAATCCAAATCAATGGTTCTCATGTGTCATGTAAACCATGTAATGGTTCTGATTTGCATGATAATTTATCTGAAAGTTCTGATCGGTTAGGGGATTTGTCGGTTATTGGAAACAAGTTAAGCATTAAGTCCGGATCTATTGGCAAATTGCACCTTAAAGCCGGAGTTAGCGATGAAACTAAGATGAATAAGAAGTACACCATAGCAAGAATATCAGATACCCATTCTATAAGTGTGGATTTTCGACTTTCTAGAGGCATTGCACAGGTATAGCAATACATAAAATGATAAGAAAGGACCTTTCAATCGTATCTTACTGGTGTTGAGTTATAGCTTCTGAATTCTTGATCACTGGGCTCGTATTCTATCGACAGGTGAACGAAGGAAACTATACAAAAGCTATATCTATTTTTGATAAGGTGATTTGTCATGTACTCTTCTTTGGTGATCTTTATCTCTGGCGGGCA